TTAAAAAGTATATTTCCATTTTCTGTTGACTTAAAAAAAGAGGTTTGTACCAAAAAAAAAAAATTAAATAAATAAATAAATAAATTGCATAATAGCAATGAAGGTACAAAAAGCCCAGTGAGAGGTACATAAGGTGCACAAGATAAGTACTTTTCTCATTTTGTTCCCCCCATTTCAGCCTTTCAGAAGTTTTCCTGCAATCTCCTCACTCTTAATCTTATTAATCTTAGAGATAATTTTGATCACAAAAATGGATTTTTTAGATTTGGCCTGATTATATACAAAAGTACATGAATAGTGTTAATAGGTCACATGGGTCATCCTGAGTTTATTTTGTAAATTGAACACCATATCAGCTCTTTATTTCAAAGTCCTGAAAGTAAATATTAAAAAATACAGTATACCCTCTGCTTTTCTTGTATGCCCTGTGCCTTAGTGTAACAAAAAGTTGGTGAGGGAAAGTCTCTGCCTAAATATATGTTCCCAGGAAGAAACAAAAATAATAATAGCTATACCAACACCATTTTGGAAGTCCTAATAAATAAGTGGATATAGTAAGTAATCAGTTAGCTCAGGGGATTAAAGCACCTGCAAGCATGCGCAGGGGCCAGGGATTGGATTCTCTGGGGTGCAATGAGATGGCGAATGAGACTGGACGTGGTGGCGCTTGCCTGTAATCCCAGCTCTTGGGAGGCTGTAAAAGGTGGATCACTATGAGTCTGATCTAGTAGTGAGACCCTGAACACCCTGTAGGCCTTTCCCTAAAATACAGAAAAAAAAAAAAAAGTGTCTGTTGGGCTAGGGGTTGCAGCTCAGTGGTAGAACATTTACCTGGCATGCAGGCAGCCCTGGGTTCGATTCCCAGCAAAACAAAAGAAAAACAGCACCAAATGGGGTATTGGCGTCACAGAAAAAGATACAATATTTGTCTTTTATTTACCAGAATATGGGCAAATCTCTGAATCTTATCACCAAATACACAAGAAATACAGAAGCTGGAGAAATCAAATGACAGGCATCTCCAGTCACAAAGTTCAGGCTGCATAAGGTGCTTGAGAACAAATGAAGTAGTTTGTCCAGTAAATAAGGGAGAAACCATGAAAGGATAAGCCCATGGATTAGAAGCTATGGCTCATTACCAGTTGCAGTTCTGTGTGGCCATTCCAAGTGTGAACACGTTTACGGTTGGCATGATTGAATCTTTGATCACTATTGACATGATAACAGTACCTTAGTTATGTTTATAAAGTATCTTATCACTTTAGAAATAAACCCTAAGGTATTTAATTGTGAAATTTGCTACAAAATATTTTGGAGAAGAGGGACTACAAAAAGCTGGGGGATAAGTATCTGGTTGTTCATTCTACTATTTTCTTTGATTGCTTTCATTTGTGAAATTTTCTGTAATAAAAATTAAAAGAAAATAACTTAAAGTCTTTTGAATAAATATACTTCCTTCCTTTGATTTTCTTCAAGAATTTGTGACATTGTTGTTGAGAGTGTAGAATGAGTAGTATTTTTGACTTCAGCTTCTAAAATATTCTCTTCATAATGAGTTTCCAATAAAATCATGGTGGACTACTGGGACTTTTCCCAGGTCTTTTTCTATTTCAGATAATAAGAATTTAAAACGTTGAGAAATAATGGTACTTTCTCTTAAAGCATAAATGTTATTTGATCAACCAAAAGCTTTTAAAAAGCCACGTCACCTTTCTTCCGAGCCTCTCCAAGGGAATGATCAGTGTTTTGCGGCGTTTCCTTCCAGATAACCTTCTTCATGCTGCTTTCTGCGGTGTGCGTAATGCTGAACCTGGCCGGCTCCATCCTTTCCTGTCAGAATGCTCAGCTCGTCAGCTCCCTGGAAGGCTGCCAGCTGGTGAGTGATGACCTGCAAGCCTTTCACAAAGGTCAAAGGCTTTGATTTTAATTTGGAGCTATTGTGGAAATAACTATTGTATTCTTGGGCTCATCCATAATTTTTTAGTTTGGGCACCAGTTGTCTAGTTGTTCAAGAAATTTTAGTGGAGTTGACTCATTTGTATAAATTCTCCAATGAAAACTTGTTCTACTGTATGTCAGTTATTAGTAGTTTTTTTTTTTTTTTTTTGTATTTTTTAGGGAAGGCTCTATCTACAGGGTGTTCAGGGTCTCATTACTAGATTGGACTTGTAGTGATTCTCCTGTTTACAGTCTCCCAAGTGCTGGGATTACAGGTGTGCCACCACGCCATCTCAATTGCCATCTCAGTGCACCCCCGGGGGCAGGGCCAGCATGGCAGGCCCAGGGATTGAACCCCCATCCCCTGCACCTGCTTGCAGGCACTTTAATCCGCTGAGCTATTTGGCCAGCCCTAATAGTCTATTTTTAAGGACTATATTGTAGTTCCACTTTAGAATAAACATCTTTAGTAACTATTGTATTTTAATATCAATTGTGTTGGTTAGTAATGGCGCTGGACTTTTAAAAATTGTTTTCCAAGTTAACTTTTAGTACTGTTATATATATCAGCTTAATAAGGAGTACATCAAAACAACACAGTTCTCATTTTTCAATTAAAATTTTTCTTTTAGATCTAGGAAAATCCTAGGCAGTGTGCTGGGTATGATGTAGAGGATCAGTAAAAATTTGTTAGGACATCTATCATTTCAAGATTGGCTGGGGTTGCAGTCGAATGAAAGAGGATTTGCGCAGCACAGACAAGGCCCTGAGTTCTAAACCCCTGCACTGCAACAAACAAACCACACAATCCACACAACAAGATTGCGTAGCTCATGATGCAGCAATATCTGCATCTTACAGGGGAAGAAATTCTAGCGTCTGCTGTTGTCTTCAAGTGCGGGTCTCCGTACACTCCTGGTGAGCACGCGGCCCCTCGGGACAGGGACCTTGGCATTTCTTTCTTTTTCTTGGGACAGCACCAGGCTGCCTTTCGGAGCCGGGTGCTCCACACTGCTGTCTGCTGTTGCTGCTATTTTTCTGAGAAGCTGGCGGCGAACTGGCAGAAGCTTTCCCACTCCAGGGCTCTGTCTCCTTCTCCTGTGGGTGGCCATGTTCGCTGGGTTCTGAGGGGGCAGCTGTTGGGAGACCGTCCGCCTCCTGCATTCATTTGTACAAAGTTATGTAGGACCAGTGCTCATAGCACCGGCTCAGTGCTGAAACGCTGCAAAGTTACATAAACTAACGTTGGAATATAATCTTACTTTCTGTTGAATGAGACCAAAAGAAAAATTAATCCAATTTCATCGTAATATGACATGAGCAAAAATTTCCTCTATGTAATTTAATCTTTCCCCATGCTTGCTAAGAACTGGCACAACCTCAGTCCCTGTCTCTAACTGAAAGGGTGACTTGCTGCCCAGTACCCACGGTTCAGATGTGCTGAGAGATCAAAGAAAATAGCTGGAGGTGGTGGTGACAGAGAAGGTTTTTTAAGGGTATTGACAGAAAAGGGTAGGGTTATGTCTTGGTTACTCTTCTCTCATTGCTGGGACAAATACTTGACATCCAAAATGAAGGAAGGAAAGGCTTATTTAGCTCACAGTGAAGGGAGGCTTCAGCCCATACTCAGCTGGCTCCAAGGCAGGGTGGCACATGGCAGAGGGCAGCTGTTCATGGCAGTGGCAAAAAGCAAGAGAGCTAAGGGAACAGCAGCAGCTCAGGCAGCCAGCTAACCTTTCCCTCCTCCTTATACTGTCGTACAGATTACCTGCCCCAGGACAGGTGCAGCATCCGCACCCACAGTAATCAGTCACAAACTCCAGACGCTGCTCTGTGACTGCAGGAGGCTTTGGGGGGACACCTCGCTACAAACCATAACAGGTTAATTAAGACTTACCAACTACAAAGGACAAGTCCAGTGACTGCAGGCTAACCAAGACAATTACTTGAAGGTCTGGAGCTGGTAAAGCAGACAGGAAGTTGCTGGATCCCAGTGGTGCTGGGCTGGAGAGGAAATCTCCACAGCCTGGCACTGGTAAAACAAAAATATCTTCCTAAACATTCTTTGTAGTGGCCAAACTTTATGGGTAACTACAGCATTATTTATTTTAAATCTGAGCCTTTCCCAATTATGTTCATATAATTCTGCCCACAGCTCCTAACAGCAGGCTTTCTTGGGTCCAATGAACCCACGTCTTCAGAGCATTTGATGTGTACTGACAGTCTGCCTTCCAGGAAGGCTAGCCCATTTGTGCTTCAGTCCATGAGAATGTGCTGCCTCTTAAACCCTTCAGAGCCCTGGAATGCTGTGGGAGTCCTCCTTCCCTTTCAGTTTTATTCAAGAGCTTGAGGAGTAGAGGTGTTAGAGCTCTCCTGAATTTCTTATAGAATTTAAATCAGGGATGAATCCATGCATTTAGGGATGGGTCCTTGGCTTTTCTTACTTGGCAGTTTTTTAAGCAATATTTTTACTGATTTATTTTCATTGCCTGATTTTATTGGGTTGCTCAAGGACAGGGTTTTTGTAACTTTGTGGTTCCATTTTGATAATTCATATATCAGATTTATTTATTATTTTTTTTGGTAGTACCAAGGATCGAACTCAGGACCTTGCACTTGCCAGGCAAGCACTTATTCCACCAAGCTATCTTCCCAGCCCCTGGTAATTCATGTATATCTAAGAATCTATCCTTTTTTTTTTTTTTTTTTTTCTGAAGTCTGCAAGCGTTTGCAATACATGGTTTCATAGTCATTACTAATAATCTTCTGGATATCCTAAATTATTATGAGCATTTCAAATCTACTTTTTGACAGAGAAAAATTTTTAAATTTTTGTATTTAAATGTATCACTATTTCCATTTATAGTCTAATGTTAGAGCCACACTTACGATCTACTTCCCAAGATCATGTAGCCCTATGAATCTCCTTGTTTTGGTGGTTTTTTTTTTTTTTAAACAGTAACTCTTTCATTTGGTGAATTAATTTTTTTCTGTCTAAAAGGTTCATAGTTTTCCTAAAGCCTTTTTCTGTCTTAACACTTCCTTGGTGATTTGAAGTCACACCAAAACCATGAAGAGTCCTAAGTGACAAGCTGCAATAACAAAGCCAGAAGCTCTTCATTGAAAGAATGCTGGGGCCTATGGAGTGGCCAAAGGGTACAGAATTTAGACTCAGAAATTGGCAGGTGCTGAGGAAGCTTCTGTGGGTGTAGAAGTGCCTCCCCCTTGTGGCTCTTGGTGTTCAAGGTGGCGGTGGGAGGGTGGAAAAATAAAGATAAGAGACAAAAGCTGAGGTCAGGTGGAACGCTCGCTCTTCAGGTGTGAGGAAAGGAACTGCTCGACCATATATTTCACAGGTTGGTGTCACATGACACCACTTTCCCTAGCAGGCAAGTGCTTGGGTTGTCTCTAGGATTGGTGTTCTCTGCACTAAAGCAGCTTGATCATGTGGCTTGTCTCAGGTGCTCTTTGATCTAGGACCGGCCTTGCCTCACTGTGCATGTGCCATCAGTCTCCAGCTTCAGAGGCCCTCTACATAGAAGCCAGAATCAAAGCAAGAGCCTGTGTTGGAAACACTGACCTCGTGAGGGCAGGGCTCTGCAAGACCGAGCTATTCCAGTGGTTCCTAACTGCTGCTTCTCTTTGCTCTGGAGTCAGAGTCTAGGAACAGAGCTTTTACTAGGCCAGGCCAGGAGAAGAATTTGTTTGCCTGACCTACCAGACCAAAGCTAATAGGATTCAAGTAGCCATTCCCTAAAACAAGGTTAAATCTTGTCAGGAAGGGCTTGGGAAAGCAGGAAGAATGACTCCAAATGGTCAAAACCCACCCAGTATCATGAATGTACTCATGTACACACAGAGTTTTGTTGATTTATCTAATTTTGGACTTTTTGTTGTGTCCATTTCTGTGTTTATATATTAATATTCCAAAATAATACTACTTTAATTACATAACCTATTTTTATAACTGGTATGGTGAGTTTTAATGTCATCCTAGACTTTTAATTAACTTCTAAAGTTATTGCATGTTCTTCACTGTTTAGTCTTCTAAATGAGCTTTTTTTGGGGGGAGGGGTGTCAGAACTCAGGAGAAATACATTTGAGATTTGAATTGGAATCATATTAAATTTATTTATAATCTTCAAGGAGAATTGACATCCAAATAATAGCATGACTCCCCACTGAAGAACCTAGTGCATGCTTTGGCTTAGGCAATATAGTTTTTTTTCCATTTTTTTCCTTCCAATTTTTTTTTTCTTTAGAATAGCCAGTACAATTCCATATGGGTATGTAGCATTGAAGCCTCTTTGTTCTGTATGAGGAAAGAATTAACTATTTTTATTTGCACAAAAATAATGCATAAGCAAAGCATTTATTCTCAACTTGTAGAAGTATTACCTTTCCAGGAGCAACCACTGTTGGGCAGGGGACATAGCTCAGCAGTACAGCACCTGCCTGGCAAGCATGATACCTGGAGTTCAAACTCTGGTACTGAAAACAAACAAATAAACAAAACAAACAAACAAGTAATCACTGCAACAGAATTTTTTTAACCAACTTTCCAGTCATTGTGTATATATATTTTTTGTTTTATTTTCTGAAACAGGGTCTCACTGTATAGTTCAGACTGGACTTGAACTCACTAATTAGCGTAAGTTGGTCTTGATCTTGGGATGATCCTCTTGCCTCAGACTCCCAAGTGGTAGGATTACAAGTGTGTGTTACCACACCTGGTTCCCCATTGCTTATACATTTATGTCTGTGGGTATATCTTTTGTTCTCCTGGTGTTAAGGATTAAATCCAGGACCTTTGCACTGGACCATATTTCCAGCTCCATTTTTTATTATTTATCTTGAGACAAGATCTCACTGCTTCTAAATTGTCTGAGCTGAGGTTTGAACTTGCTGTTGTCCTGCCTCAGCCTCTCAGAGTTGCTA